AAATGTGATAAGAAAGGAAAATATTTACCAATGAAACAAAAAGAGACGGAAGGAGATTTGAGATGGAGATTGGATCTTTGGGATTTGTATTTTTGCATTGAAATGATTTCAATTCAAAGTTCCTAAAGGTAGTTTAAAGATCGGGGATCAGGGATGACTAAAATAGTCCTGGAATTTCCTTTTTTTTTTTGCTGCATTTCTTTATTAGGACACTAAATTGAGTAATATTTTCAGAATTTTGAAGATAAAGAAATTAGAATCTCTTAATGTACAATGAGTTAAAGTATTAAAGTACAATGAATTGTACAATGTACTTTAAACTACAAATCATTGACTAAAGAAAAATTGAATTTAAAAAATAGATTGAAAAACAGAAAAAGATTCTATTCAAAATCGAAAAAGATTCTATTCAATTATAAAAAGGTTATATCTATATTATATAGAATCTATTCAATATTAAAATTATATTTAATTCAAAAAAGAATTGAAAATTCTATGAATAACAACCCATAAAGCATTGTTTTAAATGAATTTTAAATGAAAACTCGAAAATGAAAGCTCGAAGTCAGGTCGAATGACTGAAATATCAAAATTTCTCTGTAAATTTTTCCTTTTGAATTATAAGTTCATCGATTAACGTTTTAGTTTTCGAGTTTTTCTCCCGAAAACATTAAAATCAAATCGTTTTCTCACCATGTGCCCCGGCAAAAATTCAATTAGCGCGAATCACCTGGTTGAATGGAGTCAATTCACATTTCCGAGCCATTTCCCTTTCAAAAAAATCAATTAACAATATGGTAAACTCATTTTCTAACTGAAAATATGAAAACAATTGATGCCGTTGAAACGGAAAATTTCTTTTTCTTTTTGTTTTTCTTTTTTGAGCCCAAGAAAGCAATAACACGTCAACTTGAGAATGGCTAAAGGTCAAAAAAAGCAAGGGTTCAAGAGTTATAAAACACAAAAAGCAAAAACAAAACAAAATAAAACATTTAACTAACATGTAAATGGATAAGTTGTCTATACAAAACTTATTGAGTTTAAGAATTTGCTTTACTGAAAATTCGGAGAAAGTCAATAGGATGTGGATACGGCTACAGTCGTCAAAACAAATTGGATCAGAATAGAAACCGTAATGGAACTGTAATGGAACTGTAATGGAACTGTATTGGAGCCGTATTGGAACCGTATTGGAACCGTAATGGAACCGTATTGGAAACGTATTAGACCCGTATTGGAAACGTATTGGAACCGTAATAGAACTGTATTGGAACCGTATTGGACCCGTATTGGACCCGTATTGGAACCGTAATGGAACCGTATTGGAACCGTGTTGGAACCGTATTGGACCCGTATTGGACCCGTATTGGAAACGTATTGGAACCGTAATGGACCCGTATTGGAACCGTAATGGACCCGTATTGGAACCATAATGGAACCGTATTGGAACCGTATTGGAACCGTATTGGAACCGTAATGAAACCTGATTGGAACCGTAATGGAACCGTATTGGACTCGTATTGGACCCGTATTGGAACCGTATTGGAACCGTATTGAAACAAAACAAAGCTAAATATCATCTTAAAAGTTGAGATACTCAGTCGAAATGCTTGAAAAACTTTTACTAGCAAAATAAGAGCAAAAAGAGCACGGTTTTCCTTGATCTAAACCTCTAAGCCAAGCTCAAAACAAATGATAATTGAAAATCCTTTAAAACTATTTTTTAACTCAAGAACTTTTACGTCAAATGTAGTCTCAAATAAGCAATTTTAACCTATCCTTTTGATTTGATTTGAATTCAATTTGATACCCCCAAAAAAGTTCAATCTATGTATTCTATTTTCGAGAGAGCTAACCGAAAAGAAAGAAATTCAATTCAATGACGCAGATTGAAGCGAACAAGGGAAAAGGCAAAACGTGAAGCTATTTTGAGAAAAGAGAAAGGAATCGGGAAGTGAGAATATTCGAAGAGATCCCATCCATCCCCATTCACCTATTTTGATTGGATTTTTGCCCATTTGATGTCAACTTTTTCCCCCTTTTCCCTCATTTCTTTGAGAGGAACACATTTAAGTTCATTTAAGTTCATTTCTTCAGTGAATAAGTGAGCTTTTTGAGTGAGATTCTGAATATTCTGATAGTCACTAATTGATAAATCAATCAAACAGTAGATTTTTTAATGTTTAAAGTTCTACAAATCAAATGTTTTGAAAAAAATTGAGTAGAAAAAAGCTCAAGAAAGCGTTGCGTAGACAAGTCACCTTTCTCTTATCACACAATTCCCAAAAAATAGATCTTTGAGAGGGTGGTTTCAAAGCGGAAATTTTTAACCGCTCGTAAATTGGTCTGTTGTCTTTTGCACGTCCAAAATGACAATGAAATGGATTCTTTTTTGAGTTGCTGTTGAAATTGCAAAAGAATTGAAAGGATAAAAGAATTGAAATCAAGAAGTTGATGAAGAAGTTGATGAGGAAGCTGATGAAGAAGTTGATCAAGAAGTTGATCAAGAAGTTGATCAAGAAGTTGATCAAGAGGTTGATCAAGAAGTTGATCAAGAAGTTGATCAAGAAGTTGATCAAGAAGTTGATCAAGAGGTTGATCAAGAAGTTGATCAAGAAGTTGATCAAGAAGTTGATCAAGAGGTTGACCAAGAAGTTGATCAAGAAATCTATGACTGTAGCACCTAGCAAATTGATTTATTTGATAAGAAGTACCAAAAACTTGCATTTTAGCAATCGCAAATCAAAAACGTTCAAAAATAAGCCGTTTTAAAACAAGAACAACCCACAGCCAACCACCCACAAATCTCAGATTTCACCCCACGTGCGTGGTCTGTTTTGTGATTTGTTTGTTTCCAGTCCTGTTCTCTTTTACTTGAAGGTGAAATGGTCCAAAGATCTAGTCCCTTTCCTCTTCTTCTTTCCCCAATTCTCCTAAGTGGGTGTCGAGTCATCTCTGTCAGCTTTTCCCACCATCAACCCTTCTCATAGTCAGCCTTACATGGAACCGGGTACCCGGGTCCTTGTACAACATCTTCCCACTGTTTTTCTCATTTCCATCTTTTCCCCTTTTTCACATCCGGTTCCTTCTATTGTACTTGAGAGTTTTTCTCCTGAGTACTGAGTACTTTAAGTTTTTGAGCAAAGATCCTGTTGCTCTACTGAATCCCTCCCTGTAAACCTTTACCCTCATCTCAAGTTGGATTCATCAGTTACGAGGCATTTAATATCCAAACTAGTCGAACTGGGAATCGAGTAAAGAAACGAATAACTCCAATCGATTTTCCCGACCTTCGAGTACAAATTTACAGCTGAATATCTTCTTTTTGTGTCATATCCAAAGCAAAAGAAGAATCCCTGTAAAAGAGCTCGAGATGTTCTCTCTGCGGACAAAATCGTTAGCGTTAACCAAATCTGGTAACTGATAAAGGCACAAAAATTCAACTCACAATCTACCCAATTAGCCTTTCATAAGCCATCACCTATCAACCCACCTAATGTCTCTCTTTGAGGCAAGTGAAGACCTTTCTCGCTCCTCCTTTCAGCCGCGTTCGTGGTGTAATGGTCAGCATGGATGCCTTCCAAGCATTCGACGGGGGTTCGATTCCCCCCGAACGCAAAATCTTTTTGCATTCTTGGAAAAATCACAGGAAAAGAACTTATTTCAAGTAAAGTGATGAATAAAAGTGGGTTGAGAAGATAAGCTCACTGTACTTAGTAATTTTTTTAACAATTTTCAACTTTAGACACAGAAATAGATCAATTCAAAGCAATCCCCAGCCCAATCAATTGAATACCTTGACCTCATAAACGATAAAATTTTCTTTTCCGCAAAAATTTTCAATCGTAAAATGACTCGTGAAACTCAAAAACTCGATTTTGCTAAGGATTTCATGAGGTGATTTTTGGAAGATAACGAAACAAAGGAAAAGTTTCCTTTGTTTTGTTTAGGTTCAAATGAAAGAAACGGTCAAAAGAAATGAGATTTGTATTGGGTTCTAAAAAAGTTCAATTTTTTTCTGAACCCCTTCCTTTTCAAAAGTTTTCTTGTGGCACCTCAGTCAGGAAATTTGTGTGCCGAAGTCACTCTTGTGGTTGTTGAGGTGAAATATCGCAAATCCGCGTCGCAAATATTACTCAATGGGTGCAATGGGGAAATTTCAGAGACGGACGAGTTCAACTCTTACAAAAAAAAAGATGAGTGACGAAATTCAGTGTTTTTCAGACAATACCTCCCGAGAATCTTTTCTTTTAGATCTAACGGATAAAACGGAATCTAACGGAATTTTGATCTTCGATCGTTTCCTGACCGCTAATCGAATCAATTCGATTTTGAAAGTGAAAATTGATCTTCTCAAGAACTTCTCAACTTCTAACTTTTCAAGAAATCTTCATAGAAAAGTGCTTTATGATTAAAACTTACTGTAAACCAAGTCGCTTATCCAGTTATACTCAAAGATACTGTAACTTTCCGGTATTAGAAGTTTCAGAAATTCAAAACTGGTCGCTTAGTTTAAACGTTGATCTTCGATCGTTTCCTGACCGCTAATCGAATCAATCCAAATTTGAAAGTGAAAATTGATCTATCTTCTCAAGAAATCTTCATGGGAAAGTAAAGTAAACTCTTCGCTTTTTTTTTGCAGAACCATTCTGACAATTTTTGAAAGATTTCATTGCCAGTTTCTCTTTAGATTTTAGATTTTTATGTTCTTTCAAAAACTTCTTAAGATTACCTCCAAAATCAGATATTCCCAGCAATTTTCAAACTTGAAAGATCTTATCTTTTCAACAATTTCTTTTCCTCAACGTCTAAAAAATAATTCCTTGAAGAAAACCAGTTTAGTGAGTGAAAATTGGGCGATTTTTACAACCTCCGAAAAAGATTTGACATAAAAATGAGACCTTTTTTTTGAGGGGAAAAGATTTATAAAGTATTATTAGAGATGAAAAGAAAGATAAAGATAAAAAAGAACTTTTGAATAGTTGATAAAACAGACAAACCTTGTTGACATCGTGGATCGTTGTTGGCGTTGAATCGTGTTCAGAAGTGATCAATGCTTTTTCAGCTGGGTTTACCGCCTTGTTTGTGGGTTTGCTGAAATTGAAAATGAATTTAAAAGTTTAAAAATGTTCAACGAAATTGAAAGAAACATCGAATTTCAATTTGAATAAGGAAATTTGTATTTAGGAAACGTTTTAGGTAAAGCTCAAGCTAAAGCTCAAGCTAAAGCTCAAGCTAAAGCTCAAGCTAAAGCTCAAGCTAAAGCTCAAGCTAAAGCTCAAGCTAAAGCTCAAGCTAAAGCTCAAGCTAAAGCTCAAGCTAAAGCTCAAGCTAAAGCTCAAGCTAAAGCTCAAGCTAAAGCTCAAGCTAAAGCTCAAGCTCTACAAATCGATATTTCTCTTCTCATCGCTTGTGAAATGTCTCAAAAATCACTTGACCGCCAATATTTCTGTTTTGAAAAGCACTACTCAAATCTTTTTTGATGGGGTGTTAAGAAGGTGTGGAAAAATGAAAGAAATGAGAGGGGAAAACGGGGAGTGAAAACTCGAAAGTCTTGAAGAATTTCCCCCATTTCACCACTGATTTCTCCAAGAGATTTGTCGAGAAGAAGAGATGAGATTTCTTGTGAAGAACAACTCGTTTCGATGGGGCAAACAAATGAAAAAAGTTCACATTCAAGGGAAATGATTTTTTTAAAAAGCAACCAGGTTCTCGATTTTTTAAAAAAAGCAACCAGCAACCAGGTTCTCGATATTTGCAGTTATTTTGCAGTTCATTTCGATGCTTCGATTCACGGCCGTCAAAGTATTAGGGAACGGTTTCAAAGGAAGCAAATTGCACTTTTCGAGTGGTCGGTCAATTCGCCACATTTTAATCCACAAGAAAACGTTTGAGAGTACAACGCTAACAATCGTATGCAGACTTGAGTTCACTGAAGAAAGCAATTGTTGCAGCTTGACACACTGTGAATCAAAAACTCATCGATAACAGAGTTTAAATGATTCGGGAGGCCCAATTGATCATTGATTTGTGATTTTGAAAGTTTAATTTACTTGTTTTGCTATTTTTTTAGTTAATTGCTCAACTGATCGTAAAATCATGACCATTTGCCGGAATGATTTTTGATGGGAAGTCATTTTTCTTAAAAAGTTGCTGAAAAATGGGGTGGGTGAATCGATTGGAAAACCGGGTTGGATTCTCTATATCAAGACAAACTGTATAACTGTATAACTTGAAGAAGAAGAGGAAAAAGAAGAAGAACAAGAACAAGAACAAGAAGAACAAGACGAACAAGAACCAGAACAAGAAGAAGAACAAGAAGAAGAACAAGAACAAGAAGGACAAGAAGAAGAACAAGAACAAGAAGAACAAGAACAAGAACAAGAAGAAGAACAAGAACAAGACGAACAAGAACAAGAACAAGAAGGACAAGAAAAAGAACAAGAACAAGAAGAACAAGAACAAGAACAAGAAGAAGAAGAAGAAGGACAAGACGAACAAGAACAAGAACAAGAACAAGAACAAGAACGAGAACAAGAAGGACAAGAAGAAGAACAAGAAGAAGAAGGACAAGAAGAAGAACAAGAACAAGAAGAACAAGAACAAGAACAAGAAGAAGAACAACAACAACAAGAAGAAGAAGAACAACAAGAACAACAAGAACAAGAAATAACTTGAAGATAATCTTCAGACAATCATGTAAAGTAGATAAATGAAAGATTGAATTGAGAATCGAGAATCGTAGCGGCAAGCTATGTAAATGGGTGATTCGATTTGCGAGATTTAACCAGAAATTTGGGTTTTTCATGTTAAGTTGCTCAAATACCCAAAAAAAGTGTTTATAATTTCATTTGTAAAATAAATAATTAATATAATTAAAGCTAACGATTGAGATTGATTGTGAAATGCCATATTTCTTTTTTAAAAGCTCTACTCAACTCTTTTCTGGGGCGCCTCGTATAATACGCGCTGGCGCTCCAAGAAAATACGCACCAGCTTCGCGGGCGCATCATTGCGTGATTTTTAACAAGGTATTTTATAAAATACAAAATACAATTTCAAAATAAGATACACACTGACGCACCGGTGAAGTCGGTGAGTATTTTCTTCAGGCGTATTATGAAAGATGCCCTTTTTCTGGTGGTTTATTTGGTCTATCTTGTTCAAAGCAATGTTCAAAGCGAATGTATCTTTTTCACAAATTTACACTCCTTTGTTCAATCAAAGTTTCAACAATCAACAAAAAATTATTCAATTGAGTTAAAGAAATTAAAAAAAAGCTGCTTTGCTGCTTTTGAGCTTGTGCTAAAATGTTTTAGGAAATTCGATCTGTTGACTCGACTAGAGAAAAAAATCCGTCAAAATATTGAATCTTTTAAAAGGTAAATATGCTTTGCAAGTTTGTTTTTGATTTGTTTTGGTTTTAAATTGAAATGTTGCTTATTTAATGGAAAAGAAAAATTGACACTTTCAACAGAAAAAATTCAAAGATTCGATAATGGGTTTTCTGAGGAATTTCGACAAAATATTAAGTTCTCTCAAATTTAGTTCTCTCATTTTGAGAACTTTCTCCGAGTGTTTACCTCAAAAATCATACTCATATCGGCCCTCCCGATTTCCAGTTAGTGTGCTAGAGAATTTTTGAGTCAAGAAAAAATGAGGGGCAAATAAACAAATAGAAAGTGCGGGTGATGTAGAAATCAAAGAAAAGTTAAGCGAAAAGTGAAGAGTGAAATGTTTCTGATATCGAATGTATGAAAGAAAAAAATGTGTAAGAAAAGGTTTGAATTGGCTCGGAATCAAAGCATTGATTTCGCTCCATCAAAGCATTGATTCCGCAATCAAAGCTTCATCCATCTCAAGTCAATCGATTTGGACTTAAAATTTCAAAAAAATTATCATTTTTAGATTCAGATAAACTTTTAAGCTTAAAATAAAGTAAATAAAGAGTTTAGCCGTTCTCTAGAAACAAAAACAAATCTAGAACACCCAATCGTCATTTGAAAAACATGTGGTGGAAGTGAAAACGAGTGAAAACCCCTTTTTTTTCGTTACTCAGCAACTAGTCAAGTATGGTTTTGATAGGGGTGAAAAAAGATGACTGACTGGGGAAATATTTTGAGAACAAGAAAGGAAAAGGAAAGGAAAAGGAAAGGAAAAGGAAAGGAAAGGAAAGGAAAGGAAAACGCTTTCAGAAGTTGAACCTAGTTGCTCATGCCGAAACTAAAAAAAATGCTTAAAAAGTTTCAAGCTTGATTAGAACTTTGACTTAGAATTAGAATAATCAAGCTTGAAACTTTTTAAGCATTTTTTTTAGTTTCGGCATGAGCAACTAGGTTCAACTTCTGAAAGCGTTTTCCTTTCCTTTTCCTTTCCTTTTCCTTTGATAAGATCGTAGCAATCAAAGATTGGAAGATAAAGTTTCAAATTTTTAAAATGATCCGGTTTACAAAATCCAATGTAAACTGTTTTTTTTCTGAGCGAAAATGCAATCTTTTATAAGCAAGCGGAAATTGCTAAGAACAGGTGCAACTTTCAGGATATTTTGAGGGTTTTTTCAATCTTTAAAAGTTGTTATACAAAAAAGACAACTTCTGAATGATTTTCTAGTTTTTCAAGTAAAAAAAGTAAAAGAAAAGTGAAAACAAAGTAAAACAAAGTAAAAACAAAGTAAAAACAAAGTAAAAGAAAGTAAAAGAAAGTAAAAGAAAAGTAAAAGAAAGTAAAAGAAAAGTAAAAACAAAGTAAAAGAAAGTAAAAGAAAGTAAAAGAAAAGTAAAACTTGTTAAACTCAAAAACAAGTTGAAGACTTGCTTGTTAAAGGTGTTAAAAGGAATTGTGAGAGAAGTAAAGATGTAGTAGAGAATAAATAATGAAAAAAAAAAGGTTTTTTGAGACTGGGGTGAAAACGATGTGGAGGGGTTGAATGGGGAAAGGTGAGTAGAAAAGGTGAGTAGAAAAGGTGAGTAGAAAAGAGAGGCTCGCCTCTACTCACTGGTTTCCAGGCGTTCACCCCCATTCTTCCCCCTCCCCCCGTTTTCCATCTTTTCAGGTTCCAATACCAGTGTACCCCTCTGCAATTCTTTCAGTCGCATTTTCCCTTCTCGAAAATCTGTCTATTCTATAGGCTAAAGGCTCACCGACAGCAAAAAAAAAGAGAACCTGCAAACACTATTTTTTTTGAGCCAACCCTACCTTGTGTTCTCAGAACAATCACCCTTGTGTTCACTCAAAAATTTTCAAGTATTACTCATACCTTTTCCCCAAGTATCATTGTTGCTAATAGCTCTGTGTATTCCCAAAATCACCCAAACAATTTTCACAACGAAATATTCGTTTCAAGGTCGTCAAAACAAAGAAAAACTTGGGAAAATATTTTGCTTTTCTTTGTTGAAATGTTGAAATTTTGAATGCGATGAATAGCTGACTATGAGGTGAATTTTGTGAACGCAAGTTCAGATGCGTTCAGATGCGCAATGAGTCAACAAAGCAAGTTCAGAAGCTTTAAAAAATGACATAGATTTTTTCAAAAAAAGGGAAAAAATTGAAATCAGATACTTTAAGAAATGGAAATTGAACTGTAAAAATCGGTAAGCTTTCATAAACGAATTGCTTTGTTAAAGGAAACATTTTCTAATTTCAGAAAAAAAGGTATTCAAGCGATTGCTTTAATGGATGATTTGAAAGAGTTTCAGTTTTTGTTGACTGAATTTTAGTTGACTGAGTTGACTGAGTTGACTGACTGAGTTTTATACTAGAATATACTAGAGACTAGAGACTAGAGACTAGTCTAGAGTCTTTAAGCCTTTAAGTATAATCTTTAAGCCCTTAAGTACAATCTTTAAGCCTTTAAGTACAGTCTTTAAGCCTTTAAGTAGTCTTTAAACCTTTAAGTAGCCTTTAAGCCTTTAAGTATAGTCCTTAAGCCTTTAAGTACAGTCTTTAAGCCTATTCAATTATTTAAATTTTAATTGCTATAAAGTCAAGAAATAAGAATGAAACAAGCTAGATGAAAGCTGAAAAAAGTCAAACGATAAATCTCAAAATTACATGCTCTCAAATTATCGGCTACTCTTTACTCTACTTGTCAACAGCAAAAAAAAATCGAATCGAAATGCAAGTGAGAAAGCCGAGTCGAGCTAAACAGCGCAAAAATCGTAAAGAAAGTGAAAAGTGAAAATCTCTTCAACATTTTGCCTGTACATGTAGCTTTGGTCGATCTCTCCACTCAAATTTTTCCCCATTTTTTTCTCGATCGAATGGTCTCTTCCCTTTCAAAACTCGTTGGGGAAAAAACGCGATTTCCCTACACATATGCCCATCATATATTTGTGAATCTCCGCCTTCACTTTTCTCTTTTTTTTTGGTCGAAACCGATTTTCGGAAAAATCACTTTTCCCCTTGCGACAAAAATCCATTATGTTTCTGGCACAGGCACGACAAAAACGAAAGTGCTTTTGGGTTAAGTAAAAGATTTGAAAATCTGGGAAAAAGTACTTATCAAGGTGCATAAGTTCAGTAGGAATAAGTATTTTTGGAGAAAAATAAGTGTTCGATGTTGACTAAACAGTCGAATAGTTGAGCTCTCGTTTAAATTTATTTCAAAAATCCATTGCAATGCATTGTACTTTGTGTTCAGAATTAGAAACACTTTCTGTAGTACTCGAATCTTACAATCACCTTCTATTTGGTATCCAGAGAAAGCTACAAGTTCAGTGCACCAGAAAGTGAGCGTTTTGAGCATAAAGTACAATTCAAAGAACAATTTAAGTCAAGGATCCTTGACTCTAATGGGTTAATGCACCAGAAAGGCGGTGTTTCACAAAAGTCAATGTATCCTTTAATCACAATGCAAAACAAAGTGCTCAAGAGCAGATCGAATATAAAAATCGATTCACGGGAAAACTTTGTGATACCAGAGAGATGAGTGAGTGTGGCAGTATGACCGGGATGATGTCTGATCGATGTCTGCCCTTTTCTCCTCAACCACCACCACTATTTTGTTGGTACACAGGTAAACGATAAAATGTCAACAGATACGAGCCACGACGGCCCTTTTCTCTCTGTCCTTTTCTGCGAATTGTGAAAGGAAAGGCCCCGATTTGAATGGAATGGGGACATTCAATCCATCCCTCTCATCTGATGCATAGCCATTGCCTTCTTTTGACCGTTTGCCATCTCTCGTTTACATTCTTCGTCATTCAACCTCTTTTTCTTGTAATCGAATCGGGAGAATTTCAAAAAGAAGTCACATGATCTATCGAGATTTTAGTGACGAAACCTTGTTTTGATTGACTTTTCCCAGTTTATAAATAATTCTTTCGTTTTTTTTCAGGTCAGAAAACCTGGAAACGAAATCCAAGTTAAAATTCTTTGCAGTCCTTTGCAAAAGCAAGCTCCCTCAATTAACCGCATTTTTCCTTTTCCGTTCCATCTTGCTTTTTTAATTAATGTGCTTTTTCCAAAATTCTGATAGGGAACAACTTTATTGAACGGGGACGACCGTGGCACAACGCAAATCTAATAGAAGTATCAAACAACAAGCTGGGACGATCACAACTAAGACACTTCTCCAAACGAAAAAAAAAGTACCTACTGCGCCCAAAAATTCAAACACAAAAAAAATCATAGGGGTACACACATAGTAATACTAATATTGCAAAAATGGGGGTAAAAATCTGATGCCATTATATCAAATCAATCGATGAACAATGGGGAATACAACGGATGAGGGTCAATTCAAACATTCTAGAGATTTTTGGCAAAACACAAGGCTGCATATTCATATTCGAGATATTGAACCCACAAAAGTTTAGCAAATAAACGCCTAGATGAAAGTGGAAAAACATTGTTATATGCATAGACGTAATTTGTTAAACTTTTGAAAGGGCAAATAATACACGATATCGTCGAGCGCAACTGCAAACGATAATCGCGTTGGAAACGAGATTTGTGAATAAGTGATAGCCCTCATAATTTACCGAGTCAAATAAAAATGAACTCAAAGAATGTAGACGCGAAAACAAAACAAATACCGTGAGGGCCCAATTTTATATACAACAAACATTTTTTCGCAGTGGAATTGGATAGGAGAAAAATCTTGTGACTAAATAATTCCAGAGTTCAGATAAAACATTTGAAGATTATGAGCACACAAAATGCATGACAAAAGACGCTAAGTATAGGAAATGTGAAACAGACCAACGGCTTTACTTTTTCTTTCCACCAGTAGCAGTAGTTCCGGGTCGAGTGCCAGCATTTGCGGGAGGTCGACCAGAGTTCAATCCTTGATATTGATATTTGGCCTTCTTTTCAGATGGTTTCAAAATCTAAAACAAAGATTTAGGTAAATTCATCCATAACAGCTTTTCTAAAAAACAATTAAAGTATAAGCGTACCTGGAACGAGCACATCAATGTTTCGTCTACACTCATCATTCCTCCTGCGTTATCGAATTCTCCACAATAGTTTGGTGCCGAGAACAATGTTACGAGTTGCCGTTTTGCAAAGAATTCGTAGCCGTCCTCCACAACCTAAAAAAGGCAAATTAAGCTTGATAATAAATTTTTTGCGTATAAATGATGGTTGCATTGTACCTGATGGGCTCGGCAAATCAAATCCAAGTCATGTCGATTCAGGAACTTAGCGACAACATCTGGTCCAAACGTGAACGAGACTCCACGATCGTTTTCACCCCATCCTTGCACATCTTTATCTGGATCCGACCACAACAAATCGCAAAGAAGACCTAAATAAGAAAATTGTACTATGTGTAAAGGCCTCAAAGTTTAAAATTTATTTATGAACCGCCACATAAAAATGTTACCTGTATCAGGAACATCGGTCGGTCTCATGATTCGACGAATCTGTTCCATGTTTTGTAGATCAGGTGACAGGCCTCCGTGACAGCAGAAAATCTTCTCGTCGATCAGAGCGGCAATCGGCAAACAGTTGAAACAGTCGGTGAAAGTTTTCCACAATTTGATCGAGAATCGCCTCTTGCACTCGTCATAAAATCCGTAAATACGATTGATGGAAGCACACTCGTGATTGCCACGGAGCAAGAAGAAGTTTTCAGGGTACTTGACTTTATAGGCGAGAAGAAGGCAAATCGTCTAAAATTTAATTAAATCAAACGCCTTTAATCCACTACAAACCTCCAAACTTTGCTTGCCACGATCCACGTAGTCACCCAAGAAGAGATAGTTGGCCTCTGGGGGAAATCCTCCATACTCGAACAGCCTCAATAGGTCGTTGTACTGTCCATGGATGTCGCCTAAACAAAAACATGAAAGTGTTTTACTTATTTCCGTATTGCATTGTTTGTTATAAAACATGTAAAAAAAGACCCACCGCAGATTTTAAGCGGCGCCTCGAGCTCCAAAAGGATTGGCTGCGAAAGGAAGATTTCCCTCGATTTGTGGCAGAGTGCCTTGATCTCGTTTTCTGTCATTGACACTGTCTTTCCTGGCCGGCATCCTCGAACTAAAACAAGAAAAAGTTACAAAACAGGAAGTCAAAACAAACCTTCAAGGAGACGCGTGATCAAGTTGTCGACATTCAAATCAGGATCGCCCATTTCTCAAGCGGTGTCTAATCTAAAGAAGAATAAGCTCTTGAAAGGCTTTTTTAAATGTTAAAACTGAGAGATTACGTGAAAGAGTAAATGAACGAGAATGAAAAATTTCTAGGAAGCGGTCAATAAAAATTGATTAATGAGAGCATCAATAACTTTTGGTTGTTTAGCTAAATATCTAAAGCTTGTTGGGGCGAGGAAAATAAGGTTACAAAAAAGGCGGGAAATTGTTTCGGAAAGCTTCATCAGAGAAAAAGTTTAGTATCGCTGTGGTCAAGTCGAATTGAAAGCGCTTGTTACTATAGTTGATTTCCGTTGCTTTTATACAAGCAAAAAGTAGCTCCATAAATGATTTCTTAATAAAGTGACGCAAAATGTAATTATAAGGCGGCGAGAAGGGATTTGGTGCTCGCACACGCGCTGCGTCAGCGCCTTTCGAATGAAAGCTCCGGGTAATCCACGCGGGACCCGCTAGCCTACAGTGGGGTAACGGAGGGAAAGAAGGCCATTTAAAAATTCCTTATTGGCTTTTGATAAAGCGTTTGATTGCACTTGCTCTAGTAATTTATCTGTTAACTTTGCTATTGGTATATAATTTCTACTTTCTAGTTTAGAGCCTGAAGCATTATGGGCAGATCCGCTCCGAGAGCCGCCGCAGGGGGAAACGGGTAATTAATTTTTTTTCTGTCGTCTAATGCACATCAACGTTATAGCCACTTTCACTTTACGTTTCAACCTCAGTTTTGAGAAAATTGTATTATTTTACACCCCGAATTTATTTTAAACCAGTTCTACATTTTTTATTTTCTCACCATTCAAGTTTCAACTTTCAGGATCCCTCGTCCAATGCCGTCTACAAACCCAATTGCGAAAGAAAAGGACAGAATTGCGCGCATGAAGGAAGCCAAAGCAAAATACTCGTGAGTCTACCTTCATAAGCTTCCAGTTTTAACGAGGTTTCAAATTTTCTTTTAGACAGATGTCCAAAGATTATTCCACAGCTCGTGTGGCTTCAAGTGCTCCTTTGCCTTCTACAAGACCAACTACATGTTAGTTGTTCATCCTTGTTTTAAACTCTATTTTTAGGTGCGCCGAATGCTGTAAATAGACCTACGACGAGTCGCATAGCCACCGTCGCTCGAAAAACCTCAGTTGTGTCTTTTCGGGGGTTTGTTGCACTAGTTATTTAACAATTTCTCGATTTCAGCTCTGCAACCAATCTATCAAATATGGAGTTTGTGCCTTGCGCGGATAGTTTGGATGCCATTCGAAACAATCGACCCATGCAACAAATTTCTGGACGGGCAAGTGGATTTGGATATGGAGTATGTTTTTTGTTTTTCTCTTTTTGACTAATTAAGAATTTTTAGCGGACATCAATCGTTTCGCGGCAATCACTTGCTCCCCGTCCCAGCATGTTACCGTTTGGCATAAACCCGTTTTCAGAGAAATGCACTGCAGATGACAAGGTATTATAAAACAAATAATTTCTTATTTTTTCAATTTTAGAAAATCTTCAACGACTACATGAAAGAAAGGTTGGGCCCTACTTCACCGATGGTTCCAAATGTTAGTTTGTTCTTTTCTTGCTTTAAACTGTTGCATTTTAGAGTGCTGGGAGGCCAAATCTACAAGCGTCGAGAGTTCGATTTCTATCAGAAGATGTCATCAGAGAATGCCGGGAAAGTGGTGGCTTGGTTGAAGAAAACGTAGAGTTTGAAAAAATTTTTAAGCTCGTTTTTATTTAGCGTAAAGCTCCTAGCCCAGTCAAGGAGGTGAAAAATGAGGTTCGGTCAATTTTGAAAGCTCGCTTGGACACATCAAAGGTTGATTACATAAACACTTTCAAAATAAAGTCTTTTAGCTGAATCAGCCTCACATGATTATAGAAGAAAAGGAAAATGAGCCAGAAGCAGCTATAGAAAAATTGTCATCGCCGAAAAAAGTAATGAGTTTTGATTAAACTTGCCAAGTGTTTCTTCTAGCTTGGAGAAACACCAATGCTCCGACGCTCAAAACGTCCTTCATTGCTTTTCAACGACTTAGATGCTCAACCGTCTGGATCAAAGTAAGCTTCATGTCTTTAAAATTCTATTTTTAACTTTAGAAGCCCAGCAGTGAAGAAACAAAGTAGTATGCTAAGCCCAATTAGACCCATAGCCTCGAATGATTGCGAGGAACCAGTTTCACCGACTCCTTTAACGGTATGTTTTTAGCAAAGCACTTTTAATCGCTGGTTAATTTTTTTCTTGATTTTAGACAACCACTTTTGCATCGACGTTTAAAGGATGGATCGACTTCTTGCAGACCTGGAGGGCAGCGAGTGATGAAGAAAGAGAAATGTTTCCCGATGCAATGTTTAACGAATTATGCACATTATTTGATGCAGAAAGGGATAGAAGGTAAACACTTAGTTTGAGATATTTAGCTTAAAATTAATTTAGGCAGGCTAGAAATGACAACGGACTCCGTCGAAGCAAAAGATTGCCAGCGGAGAAAAAGGTAATATCATTATAAAAAGGATACCAAAATACCTTTTTTAGAAATACACGATTGAATGATTACGATTGAATGGCAAATGATCCAAATGTGCCAACTTTTTTGTTTTATTATAATATTATATTTTATGGTGCCAATTTTTCTTTTGTAGGTATATTTTATGGTTTTTGGCTATAAATGAATTTGAAGTGTTTATTGAGCAAATACAACAAAAAATGAAACAAGAATACGGGGAAACATACAGAGAATTTTTGATGACTCTATTTACATTTTCGACTTTGGTTGAGTGGCTCCTTGTTGTTGTTTCTCTAAGAATCCGGCAGCAAATGTAGAATCAGTCTGAAAACGGTAGGATTTAATTTTCTGGATATATTCAAGGATTTCAAAATTAGGTAGTTGAGAGCTTTTGAATAAATTACCAAATAGCTGAAGTGGACAACATCGTCACGATCGAGCATATGCAACACCTCGTGGGCGGCTCTAAATTCAATTATTAATATCTAGATTTGGCTCCGCATTGAAATTGTTAAGACTTTTATACTCACCTTCGTCCGGCTTGCACTGCGCCACTCATGTAGCCCATCCAATGTGTAGCCGATTCGGTACCAGCAAAGTGAACACTGAAATTTTATTTGATTATGAATTCCTTTATCGTAGATGTACTGAATTTTTGGTAAATTTTTACTTGTGATGTGGTTCACGGATAGCAGCAAAAGCGTCCATTTGGCCAGGTGGTACATAGGCGACCGGGCAACCACCGTTAAATGGCTCCTATAAAAAAAAAGTAAAATTTTCCTTGCTTTCATGCTCACTTGTCCCCAAACTTTTTCATCGTAATCAATGAAGTCTTGCGCTTCGTCACCGTAAATTCTGGCCAAATCCTGAAATGGTAATTTTCAAATATTTCAACAAGAAGTACAAATCTCTATCACTCACATCAACGGCCTCTTTACAACGCAGCTCTTTGGTGTAGTCAGCGTACTCCTCTCGCATAAAGCCGACAATAGCCGGCGTTCCACCAGGAGCACAACCGTCGTAAGCATCAACAACGGGAAGCATCTAGAAATGAGATCGATTTTAATACAATAACTATAACAGTGATTGGTGTATAGCAAGCTTTACTTTACCTCCCCTTCCTCATTTGTTCGTCCCATTGACACAACTTCTCCTGAATATCCCTTTTCTCTCCAGAAAGCTCGCTTGTAGCTGAAAAGACTTTGTTTACTTGTTACTAAAAGAAAACACTTACGTGACAACGAATTTAATCATATTTCCAAAGTACATGTTGTCGAATAATCTTCGCTTCATGAATGGAACCTCAGGCACCCAACGAAGCTGGAAATTTATTTTTTTCAATGAACAGCTTTCAATGAACAGCTAAAGAGGCTTCGTCTCTTTTTTTTCTTTTTTTTCAGATTCTGTTTACTTTTAAGTTTCAAAACTTCGTGCTCACCTTTCCGCATTCGGTTGGTGGAATAGCCATGATGACTCGCTTGGCGCGAACAATTTGCATCTGAAAATTCTTTTCTATTAAAGAATTTATGAGAGATTTTTATGTTAATGAGTTTCCTTTTGGTTTATTTGTTAAATCTTTCGAAATTCTAAGTTTAATTTTCGAAAAATCACTCTTAACACAGCGTCCTTGTTCTTCGTGTCGTACATTCGAACTCGAGCGAGTCCGGTTTGCGTGTCGATGTCAATCTGAAGCAGTTGAATGGATTGTTTAAAGTTATTGTGTAAAGTTAATATTTAAATACTACAATTATAATACTAGAGTTTCTGTGCAGAGTATTGTAAATTAAACAAAAAAATAGTCCTTTTTCTCGTACCCGACTGACGGCTGTGTTCATCTTGAGGGTGTTGTTCTCGATAAACGGCTGCGCCAAACGCTCCGATATTTGCTGAGTGCCACCCTGAAACATTAGTAAGTTAAATAATAGATTTATTAAACGTTTGATAATGTGTTTTTTTTAAAAGTTAGATTTTTAAATACATGTAATCTGATCGCTTGCGCTCCGTCACCAATCGACTCGACGAGATTCTGATAGCCACCTGCGCTTTTCGAGAAAAACAAGTGATACAGCATCGACATTCTAAAAAATTTAGCTTCAAATTCATCTAGAATTCGTAAACATTCGATATTTTAAAGTAAATTATATAGTTATCCCGTTTACCTTGTGAATGGCACACCGTAAACGATTCTCGATCCCAGCTCCATCACATCTTCCACGGTATCCGTTTGGCAATTGTCTCTTGTCCATTGTGAAACAGTCATCTGAAACATTTTCATATTTGATTTGTCTAATGAATTGTTTACTGTGATTTCGTTTCGTTAACTTGCTGAAAAACCGCACCTGATCCAAAACTTCAGCATCCTGACTCTCGAAGATTTCGATTAAGTCCAGCTTGTCACATAAAGCTTTTAGTTTATTCGTGTTCGTGAAGAAATCCAATAACTCCACCTCAGTGTAGTGACTAAATACTAAAATCATCTAAAATTTCCATTTTCCCAACCGTAAATTCTTCTCCGACAACGCAGAAACGTAAGGACGCAACTCGTTCACATCACCCATTTGAGCGAGTTTGATTCCGTCACTGAACATTTGAAATACATATATTTTAAAGAGTAAATTGATTTCATATTCTTATTCTTATTCTTATTCTTATTCTTTTCTTATTCTTTTCTTATTCTTTTCTTCTCCTTTTCTTCTCCTTTTCTTCTCCTTTTCTTATCCTTTTCTTATCCTTTTCCTCTCCTTTTCTTTCTAAACTCACGTGTATTGGTCATAAGTTTGTATCTTGAATTCCTTCATAATCTCGAGAATGTGCGATTGCGTTTTGCCGACCCATTGACCTGGATAAGCTTTGTTCTAATCAAAAAAAAAAATCAAATCTAACATACAGCTAGGTATTTAGAATTTTAAATAACTTTTTAAAACAATATACTTGAAATTGAACTCGAAATTGAACTCGAAATTGTACCCCAATTAGCCTGTAGCTTCTGCAGGCTACAGAAACCAAGTCTATTTGATTTTCAATTCCACAATTACCTCCCAAATCGAATTTCTCCATCTTATCCGTTCTCCCTTTCATCTCGACTGTCAACGTTCGCCCGCCAACACGACTCTTCGCTTCAACGATCAATAACTAAAAAAATTACCTTTACTTTCTATTCCTTTCTATTCCTTTCTTTTCCTTTCTATTCCTTTCTTTTCCTTTCTATTCCTTTCTTTTCCTTTCTTTTCCTTTCTATTCCTTTCTATTCCTTTCTATTCCTTTCTATTCCTTTTTTTATTTCGAAACTTTTCTCCACATCTTTCCCATTCTTTAGTCTATCAAATTGTATGTTTTGACCCTATCTAATTCCTTATCATTTCCACAAAGATCGCCGAGAGTTGATAAGAGAAAGAGGCCGACAATTTTCACACCCCAGGGCTCAAAACAGATTTCTTTCGTGAAAAAAAAGTGTACAAGAAATGAGGGACTGATTTAAAATTTTAAAAAAAACTTAACATATTAGGTATTAGGATACAAAAAGATTATCGAGTAAACTAAAAAAAATCGAAGATTAGTTCGACTACACTACACTAGTTTAGCCAATTGTTTAAAACTCTACTGTTAGACTCAGACTTGAAATCTAAACTACCATAATGAAAACTAAAAAGAGTTTTATGTTCAGCTTTGGGTTGCTTGAGTAACTAGATTTTTACCTAAAATTAAATTTTCTAAAGTCTAGCTTTGAAATTTGTTTGTATTGTTATTCAATTAAGTGTTATGGAAAACAGCTTTTCTATTTCTTTTCTTTTATATTTCTTTTCTATTTATATTTCTATTTCTATTTCTATTTCTATTTCTATTTCTTTTCTATTTCTTTTCTATTTCTATTCTTTTCTACATCCATTCCAAAGCGCATTACCCACCTTCAAATCCGGAGCCCGTTTCCTCAACTCGTGCGCGGTGGCCAACCCTGAGACTCCAGCTCCGACGATAAGCACATCAAGATCCAAGACTTGTTGGCCTTGTCCATGTTGTTGAATGGATTGTGTTTGGGCTGAAGCGTTCTCTTGGGGCATTTTTCTCTTCGACACGGAAAAACGTTATTTGAAGGCAGCTTGAAGAGTGAGGGCTCGAAGGAGTTCTGAATTCTCATCCAGACTCAGCAAAGGATGAATGAGTAAGGCAAAAAGCTTCTTTAAATATCAAGAAAAGAGATACGGTAAAAGAGATTGATAAGCGATTGGAGCAACTCCAAAAAAACAATATTTCTGCGAGAACGCTCAAAGATCTAATAGCTGGTCAAGGGTATATTTGTTCACTAAAAGTCACTAAATCTTTAAAGGTCTGAGAAAATTCTAGAGTCTCTAGAGAAGCTGATAAAAACTCGTGATGGGGAATGACCAATAAAAATCAGCCCTATATGAGTAGTGCCTCTGTCCATTATCACTTGGACCCGCCCTCTTTTCTCAATTTATAGCCATCCTCCCCATTTGGACTCTCCTCGTGTTATCAATCGGCGGCTAGTTGAGGAAATTTTCTTCACAAAGCAAAGTACAAAATAGAAGATCGTGGATTGGACTGACTTTTGAAAGTGATGTGATCACGTCACTTTTTGGGTCATTTGGGGTGTGCAAGGGAATGAATGAGTGCAATGAACCGGGCAGGGGCAGACTCGCAGACGGCACCTCTACCGACTGCGCTCTGCAAAGTTAAACGAGGGTACAGAAAAAACTTGATTTAATAATTCTCTTCCTTTTTCTGCAACCAAAAGATGAAAAGTTAAAAAGGAAAAGGCATTAGGTCAAGATGGTCTTTCAAAATGAAACCTAGTCCACCTGATAGAACTTTTTACGCTGATTCCGAATTCGATTTTAGTTTTTTCAGTGGAGCCCTGTAACGTGAGTTATTTGGCGTACAAAAATCGACCATGAAAATTGATTCGCCTATGTTTAAAAGCTTTCTTTATCCTTCCCTTAATGTGATCCTGCAGCAGTGGATAGCCTTACGCTTTTTTTTACCTCAGATTCAAATCCCCATGCTGACAATATTTTTTAGTTCTTTCGAAAGAAGAGATTATTAAGATTTTGAACAATTAGAAGATAAATATTTTATACACAAAAAAAAACTTTATTTCAATATTTAAACATGCATAAAAGAAGATAAAGGGGGGTGGGACAAATGCTACCTTTTTTTTTGCGCACCTGGACATTTGCGCACCTTTTTTGCTGGAAAAGGCCTTAGGCAAGGCCGTAGAGCTTCGAAAATATTTCCATAGAGGGGAATCGTATGCGTAGATTCCGAATTTCGACAAATCAGACCTCGCTGACAAGTCAAATTTGGGCTAAAAGGCAAAAACTGCGGAAAAGCGTTAAGTTGCGCAGTTTTTGCCTTTTAGCCCAAATTTGACGTGTCAGCGAGGTCTGATTTGTCGAAATTCGGAATCTACGCATACGATTCCCCTCTATGGTAACATTTTTGAAGCTCTACGGCCTTTCCTAAGGCCTTTTCCAGCAAAAAAAGGTGCGCAAATGTCCAGGTGCGCAAAAAAAGGTCGCATTTGTCCCACCCCCGATAAAAGTATTTTTTTTGAATGTGAAATATAAAAAAGGTTTAGATTTAGGGAATGTTCATTTTAAATTAATAAATTATTAATATTCAAAAAAAAGAATAGGAAAAAAATGTTGAAAGAATTTGAATTAGAGCACAACAAATACTCCATAATTATTTCCTTTGGGTTTATCATAATTTCCATGAAAATATTCTTTTTTTTTACTCAACGAACGAGTTATTTAAAGGAGTTAAGTAAATTCAAATAACAACCTTTTTAATTTCAACTAAATGGAGGCCTGGAACAAAAAAAATATTTCAAATTTTGTTCGCTACTGTTCATCTTAATAATCTCTTTCTAATTGCTCATCTTAATAATCTCTTCTTTCTCAAGAACTAAAAAACATTGTCAGTATGGGGATTTGAATTTGAGGTTGAAAAAACTATCCACTATCAGTAAGGCTATCCACTATCAGTAGCCTCTGCATCAGCATCAGCGCATCAGCAAAAAACTATCCACTGCACCATGAGCTCACATTAGGGAAAGGATAAAGAAAGCTTTTAAACATAGACAAATCTTCTTTTATACATGTTTAAATGTTGAAATAAAGTTTTCTTTTTTTGTATAAAATATTTATCTTCTAATTGTTCAAAATCTTAATAATCTCTTCTTTCGAAAGAACTAAAAAATATTGTCAGTAAGGGGATTTGAATTTGAGGTTGAAAAAAGCGTAAAGCTATCCACTATCAATAGCCCACTATCCACTTCGGAATCAGCGTAAAAAGTTCTATCAGGTTTTATTTTGAATTTTTATTTTTTAGCCAAAGAAATAAAAGGTTTTTAAAAAATGAATATTAAATTTGATAAAGAAATGAAAATGAATCATTTTATCATTTTGATTGTAGCAATTTATGTTTGTTGTTGTTTTTTAAAAAAAACTGAATCACTTTCTTTTTAACTAATCTATCAAAGAGACCGTTTTTTTTTTGCCAGATTCATGACAATAATTGGTAATTGAGGGGAAATGATGTTAATTGTACAGTGGTTTTCCCATATTCTTCGATTTCTTTATTCTTAGTGTCTATATCCTTTCTTTAATTTGAGTAAAGTTACCATTTAGCGCACTTTTAGATGAACTTAAGTCAAAAACAAGCTTTGAGCAGTAGAAATGGTCAAATTTCAACCCAAACTTGATTTCACCAGCCTTTTCTTATCCAATTACTCTGAAATTTTGTCTACAAGATGAAAATTTCGATCTCTATTTGTAGACAGAGCAATCGGATGAGAAACGGCTGAGGAAAGGTGGGATTAGGTTCAGCTTGGATGTCTTCCCATGTCGGTAAGACTGCTGAAGAGATAGCCTTTTCCAAATTCTCCCCAAATCTTCTGTGTACAAAGAATTGAGTGTATTTTTAGATGATTAGCACTAATTGCTTTTTCTCAAACATCACGTGATGGCATAAAAAGGGCAAGAAGCCGAAGAATATATCCATAAAAATGTTGCTCGCAATCACTTCTCCCTCGTGCAAACATTTTTTATTGCTTTTTCTCCCTTAGAGATTTTATTGTTGTTCAGCGATTTGTTGATCGTTCAAAAATATTTACTTTTACAAAATATAGATAAGATTTTACATATAAACATATTGAGCAAATTGAGTGGAAAGTGAAAAGCGGGCTACTCGTTGAATAAAAAGAGATATACAAAGAAATACAAAGAGCTGAAGTACCGTAGACTTCTAGCAAACTACAGTATTGCAAAACTGAATATCTTTAGCTTTATAGAGACTTAATAGGCTTACTTCTCACTGGGCTACTTTAGTGAGACGAACTGTAGACAGAATAGCTACTGTAGACAGAAAGGCTACTGTAGACAGAAAGGCTACTGTAGACAGAAAGGCTACTGTAGACAGAATAGCTACTGTAGACAGAATAGCTACTGTAGACAGAAAGGCTACTGTAGACAGAAAGGCTACTGTAGACAGAAAGGCTACTGTAGACAGGAAGGCTACTGTAGACAGAAAGGCTACTGTAGACAGAATAGCTACTGTAGACAGAATAGCTACTGTAGACAGAATAGCTACTGTAGACAGAAAGGCTACTGTAGAAGAAAGGCTACTGTAGAAATTTAGTTATTCTAAAGAACTACAGCTACGTAAAAATCTCAAGTCTACAAAATTCTAAACACTTGATAAACATCTACACTTTAGAAGAAAGATAAAAGCTACAGCCGCCATTGAATTAAAGTCAAAAGTTGTACTAAAGCCTGGATCATTGATCAATTGCTCATTTCATTCTATGGCCACCAGGTGCCAAACCAGCTGAGCACAGTTCGTTCAGTTGGTCTCATCGCTTTTTCCGTCAAGCTTAACTGGTATTTCTTTGAGTAAGCAAACACGCCAAGACACAACATCGACAAGAAAAATGCACGACGCCACCATGGAGAGAATTTCTGAAAAGAAATTGTTTTACACAAAGAACAAATTCTTTTGTTTACGCGAATTCCTTTCATTTCTGCTCATTGGCGTCATTTTGTGCTCAAAAACGAATCTTCTTGGCACACTGAAGCCTTTATTTTTCTTACGACACTAAAATGACGATGAGAGAAAGGAAAAATGATGGCTTCAGTATGCTAACAAGTATGCGTTTTCATTTCCAAAAGAACATTCATTCATTCATTCATTCATTCCCCTTTCATCACTTCCATCCCACTAATTTCTTTTCCTTTTTCTTTTTCTTTTCATGAAATCACTCAGCTCATTCCACCCACATCCCATAAAATTCAAATAAAATCATTAATGATAAGCCTTTCTCAATCGAAAGACCTTTTCATTCTCGACCTATTTGAAGAAGAGCAAAAAAGCGAATAAGCAAAATTATTGAACACTTTCCCCGCACTTGTAGTCATAAAATTTATGAGGAAAGATTGGTTTTTTTTTCTTTCGAAAACTCGCGAAGATGTCTACCGGGGAAATTAATTGGGGAATTTTATTGAAAAGTGATAAGTTTTATGGAGATTCAAAGGGAAACCGGGCCGAGATGGGTTGAACAAACAAATTATTGCAAAGGGAGCAAGTTCCTGCTTGCATCGATTGGAGGACAAGGGAAAGTTTGAACAATTTACAATTTATGGAAAGAAGCTAGCTCGAGCTAGAGCTAGCTTGAGTCTTTAGGCTTGCGACTTTCCACTTTGAGCTCACATTGCACAGCTGTAATTTGGATGTTTCGTGCTGGCTTTGAAGTGGTTGCAAAATCGAAGTTCAAAAGTTCGAAATTAGCATTGTTAACTCTGCCTTATAGTTAGAAGTGCTCAATGAGATTTTCAAACTTTTAATCTCAATCAATTTCAACTCCTGTGCATTAGCTCACTTGTTCATCGATTAAGCTACCGTAAATACTGTAATAGTACCCCATCCCCATAATGACGGTGCGGAGTGTTGTGTAGTCTAGCTTTGGACGAGTTTTTCTCGACACTGGTTTATGCTACAATGCGCGCTTAGATATCAAAAAATAACCCTGAATTTCAGCTATTTTTTGATACCAAAAACGCATTGAAAGTACGGCCGCCTTGAAAAAAAAATGAAATACTAAAAAACTTTTGCAACTACGCGACTGTACGAGGGGGTGGGGTACTTTTTACAGTATTTACGGTAGTTTACTAGTAAGCTTACTAGTTAGTTTACTAGCAATTGCTTTTAAACACAAGATCAAAACCCTTTGTTTTACTTAACTGTTCTCATCCCTTTGGCAGCTTAAAGTGTTCAAGAAGATTGCTAGCATTTGACTGCTGATATGGCCGACTGGCTAGGAGCCATGTTCTTAGTCAATAGGTCAACGGTTCTAGATATTGGTTATTTTTCCCCGCTGGCTAGATATTGGTTCTTTTTCCCAACATTTAAGGGCTTGATTTAAGGATTGTGCTTTTGTATTATTTTAACCAAATTATTTGTGTCTTTTCTTTTCTTTTCTTTTCTTTTACAAATCTCGAAAAAAGACAAGAAAGCATTTTTCTCTCACCTCGATATATCCATATGATGGTAAAATCAGTCTCTCGTACTTATCAGCATACACAGAATCGGTCTAAAGATTGATTTCAAGAGTTGATCGTTTCACTTCATACCAAATAGTTGTAGTTGATCGCATTGTCTCGTCCCAAAACATGTAAAACCTCGTGAGCGGCTCTGAAAGAGGCATTTGATAGCACTGAATACCGTATTTCTTCGAATAGAAGACCGGGTAAAGAGAGTATGATCGCGTACTCCTGCGTAGCAGCCCTTTTTAAAATTTCTTTTCTGCATAAAAGCTTTCAATCAAGTGCTATAGAGCTGGAAAATGGCTCAAAAATCTGTTAGCTCATGTGGTATTTTTGAGTCATTTTCCAGCTCTATAGCACTTGATTGAAAGCTTTTATGCAGAAAAGAAATTTTAAAAAGGGCTGCTACGCAGGAGTACGCGATCATACTCTTTACCCGGTCTTCTATTCGAAGAAATACGGTAATAAGAGATGTATTTCAGTGCTATCATTATGCGTAACCTTATGCAAATTATCATTATCAGTACTTTAGATAAAGCTTTTTAATTACAAATTGCCCACCGTCTACCCGATTGCACGGCTCCGCTCATATAGCCGGCCCAATGGGTGGCCGCTTCCGTGGCAGCAAAATGGACTCTTAAAATGATTTTTTTTATTTAAGTTTACTATATTTTATCGATTTCTTTAAATATCTAAAAGAAATTCAGAAAGCGCACGTATGAAATGGCTCGCGAATCGTTTGGAAAGCGTCCATTTGCCCGGGAGGAGCATAGTCGGCTGGACAACCACCACCGAATGGCTCCTGTAATTTTGAGGTATTTCTTTTCTACTCAACATTGCTAGGAATTTAAGATGATTTTGATCGAATTTCTGTAGACTTACAGTAGACCAAAGCTTCTCTTCGTAGTCGACGAATTGCGTGAGCGGTGAGTCGCCAAGGAAACGCATTAAATCCTGAAATGATTGATAGAGATTTTGAAATTAGAACCAAACTTATTGAAAAGCTAAATGATTTTAATGTTTAAGCCATCAAACGGTGCCCACTTTGACAACCGCATTGCAGCGTTGCTCTTTCGTTTGATCGGCGTACTCGACGGCGATGAAACCGACGATAGCCGGACTCCCGTAAGCTGTGCACGCATCATAAGTGGAAATTATCGGGTAAATCTGGAAAAGATCGAAGAAGATCGAGCTTTTATCTTTCATTTGTTTATATAGCTTAAATTTAAAGTGTATACTTGACAATTAGGGTGGTGCAAAAGAAACTGCCGATTTGACGGTAAATTTTAAAAAAAGATGGCGTTCGATGGTGACATGATCACAATGGAATATTTTCGCAAGATCTCGAGCAGATTGGCATGGATCGACCTGAATAACGTCCCTCAGCTTGGCTTCGTTCACGACTTCTGGCCTCGAACCGTGCTCGTAATCTTCCAAAGTCTCGTCCCCCTCTCGGAATCGTTGAAACCAAGTCTGACACTGCCTGAGAGGCAAACTGCCATCTCCGAAAGCAGCACAGAGAAAACGATGCGATTCGGCAGCAGACTTTCCAATTTTGAAGTTAAACAGTAATGCTGCTCGTAGCACAAACGTTCCAATTTTAAAGTTAAACAGTAATGCTGCTTGTAGCACAAACTTTCCAATTTTGAAGTTAAGCAGTAATGCTGCTCGTAGCAGCACAAGTAATGCTGCTCGTAGCACAAACTTTTGCTCCGCCATAATCTAAATAAAAAATATAAGCATTTTTAAATAAAATAAACAACAACCAAAAAATTCAAATGTCGAAATAAATAGCAAACAAATATGCGAACAAAACATAAAAAAAATAATGCCGTTAGCATCGCTCGTTTCTGATAAATGAGAGCTGATACCCATCGGCAGTTTCTTTTGCACCACCCTAATAGAATTTCTAACTAAAACGAGTGCTCTCATTTTTGGCTTTGATCAGCCAAACCAGCCGAAAAACTCAAGTAAAGCGTTTTCTAAAATGCATTTATTTGAGAAAAGTACCGTAGTTTACCAATTCGTTAGTTTTCCTTCCAATTTTTATATCATTCGCTGAGCCTTGTGATTCCTCATCAAATGATACCAAAATCAATCATCAAATGAGCTGAGCGGATGCAAATTAGCACTTTGACTACGGTGGTTTTCTTAAATAGATGCATTTTAGAAAACGCTTTACTCAAAAGGAACACACTCTAAACCCAAGTAAAACCGGGTTTTTCTGGTCACTTTTTCTGGCCATTGTCCCTGTTGCGCAGTCAAAAGCGCGCTTGTCTATAGCTCAAACAAAGTAGCAATGTCTATAGCCCAAAAGATCCGGGTTCAACCCCACCTAGTCTCACTCAACTCCCACCAACTATGACTTTTTTATTTTTCATCTTAGCAGAACTTTCTTATATTTTGAAACTTTTAAAAACATTTCTGTTTTTTTTGGCCTAAAGATCGCAGAGAAAGCTGAACAGACAAACAGACAAACAGACAAACATTGCTCTTTTATATATAGTAGTTGCAACTAGAGAAACCGGTTCAAATTGAATTCCTAGCTTCAAATCGAAGCTCAGAGCAAGTAAAATAGCTTTCAGATCTTTATCACCAAGAATAGTCTTGAAATATCAATATCTTTACCTCTCCCTCTTCACTTGTTCTCCCCGTTGAAACGATTTCCCCTGAATAGCCTTTCTCTCTCCAAAATGCCGTTTGAAAAGTAGCAATGAATTTGATCAAATTGCCTAAAATTTGATTTTAAAGCTTATTTTCTAAAAAAACCAGAAGTGGCTGATTGAAAGAGTCGTTTCTTTAGATTCGGCACATCAGGAGTGAAACGAATCTGTGCACATTGGGACGGTGGAATGGCCAAGATCACTCGATTGCAACGAATAGGGATTAGCTAAAGGAGAAGTTTATTTATTTTTAAGCTCTCTTCTTAATAGAGTGCGATTTGCGATTTTTTTTTGTCTCTAAACTCTCGAACCTCAGCTGGATCGTCGGCATTCGTGTCGTAGATTAGCACCGTTGATGTGAGGCTTTTCTCGTTGACTTTAATCTAAAATCAATCGAATTGTTATTTTGTTTTTGGAAGATAAACATTGTTTGACTAAAAAAAGAGTAGTATTGGAAAAGTTAGAGAAAAAATTAGAAAGAATTAGAAAGAATTTAAATTCAGACACCTGTCCGACAGCGGCGTTCAATTTGAGGGTTTTCTTCTCGATGAAAGGCTGCGCCAACTTCTCACTGATTTGTTGAGTACCACCCTAAAATAGATTTGATTAGAATCTGGACCCTATAAACTACAAGTTCAAATTAAAAACCCTTATAGAATTGCGTAGAATCGATACCGTATTTTCTCTAATAGTAGTGCACCACACCGAGCCGAGTTGGTGACGATTTTACGGTTTCCAGGCTTTTGCAGAAGCTCAACACTCAAATCCTCCACTAGATCTCATCGTCAGCTACATTTTCCGACCCCACATCGGTCGGTTCTGATAAACGGTTCTCGAGATTTCGAGGAATTTAGGTGACGCTCAGGCTGCACTGCTATTAGAGAGAAGACGGTATATTTTACCAGGTTGGGCTAGTATCGACTGTCTGTTTCCCAATTCCCGGTGGCCAGTTGACGTTTTACAGTTTCCAAGCTTTTGCAGAAGCTCAACACTCAAATCCCCCACTAGATCTCATCGTCAGCTACATTTTCCGACCCCACATCGGTCGGTTCTGATAAGCGGTTCTCGAGATTTCGAGCGATTTAAGCGACACTCTGGGTGCACTACTATTAGAGAAAATATGGTATTTTTAAAAACTTCAAAACTCGAGCCAACTTTAGACCTTTGAATGACAATAAAATCAAGAAAATTCATCATTTTTCCTCCGAAAACAAACTATTTATAACCGTTTATAGCCTCACCTTAAACTATAAACTATAACTTTTAAGAAAAAACGTTAAATCTTTATGTAGAGAACATGATTTGACTTGATTTTAGTGTCATTCGAAAGTCTAAAGTTAACCGAATCTTTTAGTAGAAAAAGTTTTCAAAAATATTTCTTCTACAATTCTACAATCGTTTATAGGATTGATTCTTCAATTTCTATTTGATTCTAGATTTGCAATTGATCATTTACCCACCTTAACCCTCATCGCTTGTGCTCCATCGCCGATCACCTCGCAGAGATTTAAAAAGCCGCCCGCCGTCTTCGAATAGTAGAGATTGTAAAGCATACTTAATCTGAAAAAAGTTTAAATTTGACAATTGATATTTAATAGCTTTCAAATGCACCCTGAGCGTCACCTAAATTCTAGTACCAACCTGTTCGCTTCAACTCCGTAAACCGATCGGATCGCCACATCGATCGCATCCTGAACAGCTCTCGTTCTCGAGTTCTCTTTTGCCCATTTCGAAACGGTGATCTCGTCGAGATCTTTTGCGTGTTTCCATTTAAACAAATTCAGGAGATTCACCTAAAGATTCCACATTTTTATATAGTTTTTAGATTTCTTATGATTTCTATGATAAGCAACTCAAAAATGCTTGCAACAAACCCGTCGAATCAAGTACTCGATTTTCAGTGTACTTATCGCAAAGTCGAGCACTTCGAACACTGTGTAGTGGCTAAATATTGAATATATTTCAAAAAGAATCTATTTAAATATTGAAATTTCTTGAATTTTTCAAATTACCGTAAACTACTTGAGGGAAGAGAGCTACTGTAGGTGCGCGCTTTCGTTGTTCCCAATTGAGCACATTTTAAACCGTCGCTAAATGTTGCAAAATGGAAATAGAAAGAGAAATTGAAAATTCAACACCTTTAGTCGAAAGTTTATCTAAAAACCGACTCGAATTGCTCAAAAGTCTCCAAACCGAGATCCTGAATCACCTCGAGGATGTGAGTCTGCGTTCGACCGATCCATTGACCTGAAAAGCGTTCATTAGTAAAAAAGAATTCAAACTGAAGTTCAGATTAAGATCTATTATGTAGGTTTCTTTGATCTTATACCTCCAAGATCGTATTTATCCATTTTCTCTCTCGCTGACTTGATCTCTGTGGTGAATGTTCGACCGCCGACTCGTCCCTTTGCCTCCACAATCAACACCTGCCAAAGGAATGGGTTCAAGCTTTTTTAAACGAATATATGTCGACTTTATTGTACATTCTTTAGCTTCATAGTTCTTTGGATCTTGGCCAACAAGCAGCATTGGCCAACAAGCAGCATTGGCCAACAAGCAGCATTGGCCAACAAGCAGCATTGGCCAACAAGCAGCAATAGAGATCTAGAATGCTCTTTGACTTCGAGCACAGTAACCTTACAAAATGAGATTTGTGGCATGGTATGAATAAGCTCTAAAAGATCACATCCTCCGCGCCTTTTACTCACCTTCAAATCAGGCGCCCGCTTGGTGATCTCGGTGGCGGCGGTGAGGCCAGAGATCCCAGCTCCAATCACAATCACATCATAGTCGACGATCTCGTCAATCAATTCCCCATCAACCGATTCGCTCATTATGTCAACTGGCGGGGAGTCGCTCATTTTCTGAATTTTGTTTATAGGTTGACCTTTGCAAAAAATAATTGACAAGTACTTTGGTGCAAGAAAGTGGAACTGTTAAGCGAAAAATTACCCAAACAAAGCTAAAAGTAGCTTTGTCTACTTTTAGCTTTGTTTTTTTTAAAACTTTGAAAATATAAGAAGACAAAAAAATACAAAAAAAATTGTTTACTTGGCACAGATATTTTTCGGGCAAAATCGATATGAAATGGGGGAAAAGGAAGGGTCATTTTGACTCTTTCTCTTTTCATTTCTTTCAACACAACAACAGATATTTTTGCAGAGATAAAAGACAAAGAGTCAAATGGAAAAGTGAAAAAGATCAAATGCATATTGAAAATGATTGTAAAAATATAGAATTCGCGATATTAGGAGAATAATTTGGAAAGCTTTAAGTTCCAATTGGTAACTCAATAAAATGAATAGCTCCAATCGATTCCCCGATCGCGAAAATCCCCGGATACAAATTCACAGCTTATCATCTACAAAGCAAAAGAGAAATGGGTTCTTTGTGGTTTTGCGTAATCGCTCGCCATCTGGCAAACCCGTCCGATAGATAGGTGAACGGAACGGTATAAATTTGTCCCATAAGCTTGGCTGTATTTTTGCAAAAAATTCTACATCCTCTTAAACCAAGCCATGAGCCTTTAAGCGAGATTTCTCATCCAAAAGTGCCCCCGTCTCCTCTGCCACTCCGTGCCACCATCCCCTCTAGGTTTAAAATATACAATAAACTCTTGATTAACAAGTGCTACGCTGTGAATTGATTCAATTAGCACTCTTCAGCTGTTAAGATAAGTGATGAGAGAGCAATGAGCCTAAATTTTGATGGAATTGATGATTGATTGATCATTCATAAAATGATATGGATTTTGAAAGGAGCTTTCTTTTAAAAGAACTGAATTTTGAAAGTTTGCCAAAAGAAAATGTCAAATGCGTTAGCGCTAATCAAATCTGATAACTGTTAAAGGCACAAAAATCTAACTAAAAATCTACCCAATTAGCCTTTCATAAGCCATCACCTATAAACCCACCGCCTCTCTCTTTCAGCCAAGTGAACACCGCTTTTTTCGCTCCTCCTTTCAGCCGCGTTCGTGGTGTAATGGTCAGCATGGATGCCTTCCAAGCATTCGACGGGGGTTCGATTCCCCCCGAACGCAGAATCTTTTTGCTTTTTTTTGAAAAATTACAAATTTCCGAGATTGAAATAATTCAAGTAAAGTGATGAATAAAAGTGCGTTGTGAAGAGATTTGAAAGCCGAAATCAAGCTTTCACTAGCACAGAAACGAATAAACCCACCCCCTCTCTCTTTCAGCCAAATGAACACCGCCTTTTTCGCTTCTCCTTTCGGCCGCGTTCGTGGTGTAATGGTCAGCATGGATGCCTTCCAAGCATTCGACGGGGGTTCGATTCCCCCCGAACGCAAAATCTTTTTGCTTTTTTTTGAAAAATTGAAATTTTCGATAAGAATTTATTGCAAGGGTTGTAAAGTGCGGAATCAAAGACGTTAAGGCGTTGAGAAGAGGTTTGAAAGCTGAAAGCTGAAATCAAGTTTTGACTAGGACAAAACGAAAGGACAAATAATAAAAATGATTGAGAAATCGCAAAAGCCAAGAATAGCAAGAAATTGGAAAGAGTGATTAAAGAAAGTTGATATCTTATGACAGTTTAACGGCACAATTATAGAGCAGAAGATATTGAAGAAAAATGTGACCCGAGAATCTCAAAAAAAGGAGTTAAGAGTGGAGGAGCGAGGAAAAGAGACCAGTGAATAAGATTGAAGACGAAAAAATGGGAAAACTTAAGCGATTGATGATTTGTTAACTTATTGTTGTTTTATGTATTTCAACTATGACCATTTTGTTGTTCTAAAAGAATCCTTGCATAGAATCGTTGATACGATTTGCTGATCGATGTCAAAATGAAAGCGCCGGGGAAAGGTTGAAGATCGGGGTGAGAAAGGGCATTCGGTGGATACGATTCTAAAGTTTTACGTTATCAAGTTCAGATAGTCTTCTTGTATCTATTGAATGCAAAAGTTCTTCCCGCATCTCCATCACTTCTCGATATCTTTCTGGGGTGAGCACTGTGCGATTGTTGAGTCGTTCAAGTGCTTCAGCACAGATTTCCTTCATCAGAAGCAGTTCGCTGAAAATTTTGGGAGCAATTTTGAGACTGAATAAGCATGGCAAGAGAAAAACCTAAAAGGTTACTTAAACCCACGAGTTCTCTGAATTGTTGACGAGAACGGTGAACATGGCTGAGGCACAGCCACAAGATACATTGGGATGAGCTCAGTGAAGCGCTAAAGAATCGCTGTTTATATTTAATTCACTAAAGCATTATGCTAAAATTTTTGGGATCAATTTTAGCCTTAATTTTTAAGAAGGCAAAAGCAAAAGCAAGCGAAAGCAGAAATTTTGAGAAAGCATTTTTGAGAAAAATTCTACATCCTGTTAAGCCATTACGTGACTTAAAAAGCAGTGCACAAAGAAGAATTTTAAGATCAATGAAGTCACTTGATGACTGACGACTGACGAACGACTGACGACTGACGACTAAGGAACGACTGACGACTGACGAACGACTGACGACTCATAGACTATTACTTATTGTTAGTTCAATTAAGATTTCTCCTATTGAATGATCAAAACATTGCAGCAATGCAAATCTCTTTCCATCGATCATTGGCTTTAACTATTTTGCAAGAAAGAATAACTACTCATAGCAAGTTCACCATTTTCCTGTAGTTTCCTTGTGAAATTCTTATTTTTCAAAATATTTTATGTTTTAGATCAAAGTTTTATCAGTTCTTTTTTTCAATTTCCAGTTCTTTTTTCAATTTTTCTGAAATAAAACGAGACATTTTCACTTTTCTCAACTTTTCCGGGTGAGTAATTCAAAGGAAAATCTTTTCATAATTCACAATTACCATAATCATTGTATAAATTTTCCTCTTCCCAAGTACTTCCTGAGCTCAAATCCTTTTCAGATCTTTCTTAATATGTATCTATGACAAATTCCGTGGATCACTCTATGAAGATACGTTAGATAAAGAAGTTTTACTTGTTGATCTTCTCATGAGTTCAGATTTTGTGCTACGTTTCTTATTAGTTGTTTTTGATGCAGTTTCCTGGGGCAGTTCAGGTCTTAGGCTAGCTTTTGCCTTTTCCTGGCTTGGATTTACTGCAGATCTGATCTAGTGAGCCGAGTTGATCACTATTTTACAGTTTCCAATTTTTCCCAGAAGCTCAACACTCTAATCAACCACTAGATCTCATCGTCAGCTACATTTTCCGACCCCACATCGATAGGTTCTGATAAGCGCTTTTTAAGATTTTGAGGAATTTAGACAAAGCTTACTATTAGGGAATACGGTAGTTGATTTAACGGAGATTGATCTAGCATTTAGAAATTCAACCCAAATGGGATACGATTGATGAAATCAATCCCACCACATCAGAATACATAATTTGTTGATCCTCATGTCTGCATTCGGGTGCCGATCTTGACAACATTCCACTCTTCATTACTCTGAAAAGAACCGGATTCAGACATATCTGTAAGTAAATGAAAACTTACAAACGATAAAGCTGATCTTTCCAGTCTTACAATTATAGCTCGCCCATTTTTCATCATGTTCCTTTCAAAAACAATAAGTTTTTTTGATTTCGAGCGATTTAAGCGACACTCTGGGTGCACTACTACAGTGCGTTTCAAATTCTTAAACGCACCCCTTAAATTGCGAATCTTTCCTTTTTCCCCCCTCTACAACTATTATCTTTTATATTGAAAGGCATCTCTTAAAGGCCTAAATAAAAAAAAAAAGCATACTGTAAAAAACAAAAATTTTCCAAAATAGAAACTTTTGTGCTAAATCAACCGTTTCAAAAATTCTTAACGCCCCCCCCCTGGGCGGCTGTTATTTGAAATTTTTGTTTTGGTTGTGCACATTTTTTTTATTAAATTTATAATTTTTGTTAATTTCCAGATAAATGGCACACGGAAAGCTGCTCACGGATTATGAGAAAGGCCAGATTGATGCCCGTTTGAGGATTGGCGACTCAATAAGGAAAATCGCAAAAAATTTGGGCCGATCCGACTCCGATGGCGTTGGTTACTATTGGAGGGATCTTCGACGTGATCCGATGGTGTTTGGAACTCGAAACTTTGGCGGTGGTCCTGTGATGATTTGGGCCGCCTTTTGTGCTGATGGAACGGTCGCTCTGCAGATGGTTTCGAATCGGATGACTAGATAGATATCTTGAACAATTGCTTGTCGCCGTTTTCGCTCCTAAATCAAGCCGTTTCCGATTTGTTTCAATACGACAACGCGTCAGTTCATCGAGCCGGAGATACCCGAGACTGGCTGAACAGCAACAACATTGCAACTTTGGACTGACCCGCTCAGTCTCCTGACCTCAATCCGATAGAAAATTTATGGGGAATACTTGTCCGAGCTGTCTACAAGAATCATCGTCAGTTTCAAGACGTTTCCACACATAAAGCAGCAATTTTTTCGGCCTGGAGCGATCTCGACGTCTCTGCTCTTCAAAACCTCATCAATTCAATGCCAGACCGCATTTTCAAGTAATTAATCGTTCTGGTGCGTGTACAGATCATTAGTTTTGATTTTTTACCTTTGATTTTTAATTTGTGTCGATAAATAAAAATATTTTCATAGTGCGTTTAAGAATTTGAAACGGTTGATTTAGCAAAAAGTTTCTATTTTGAAAATTTTTGTTTTTTACAGTATGCTTATTTTTCGTGTTATTTAGGTTTTAAGACATGCTCTTTCTAATAGAAAAAAGATTAATAGTTGTAGAGGTGGTCAAAATGCAAAATTCGCTATTTTAGAGGGTGCGTTTAAGAATTTGAAACGCACTGTATTAGAGAAAAGAGAAAATACGGTAAATGATCGATGAATCTGATGATCTAAGGGATCGATTGTGGATCGATCCATTAGATCATCAGATTCATTAGATCCCAAAACTGCTCTTCCAGTTTTCAAATTCGAAACCAAATTATAGTTCGCTCATTTTTCATCATTTTCCTTTCACAAACAATAAGTTTCCTTTGAAAACATTTCTTTTTCTTTTCCCAATTTCAATCCCATAACATTTAGCCCTAAAGATTATTGCTTCCATATGATTTCTTTGAAAGAAAACCCCCATTTGCTTCAAGTTGGGTAAATTTTAAAGAAACCCAATTTTTAAACTAGTTCAAATTAGTAATCTTTATCTAGAAATTCGATATTTAAAGAGTTTTATTCAACTTGTACAACTTGAATTCATTTTGTTTATTCAATTCCACCTTCTTTTCCGGTATTCCTTTCGTTTTTTTAAAACTTTTTGTAATTTTTGATTCATTCAAACCTTTTACTTTCACTAATTTTACTTTACTTTACTTTCTTTTTATTTCACATTTCTCTGAAAAATTCAATCCTAGCATTGCTATGTTTCCATAAAACAAGTTTCCAACAGGTTCCAACAGGTTCCAACAGTTTCCAACAGTTTCCAACAGGTTCCAACAGGTTCCAACAGTTTCCAACAGTTTCCAACAGTTTCCAACAGTTTCCAACAGTTTCCAACAGGTTCCAACAGGTTCCAACAGGTTCCAACAGGTTCCAACAGTTCCAACAGTTGCCGACTATGTTTCCAAACTTTTCGACAAAAGTTTTGAAAGGTCTTTTTATTTTAACATCTACTCTATTTTTCTATCTATTTTTAAACAATAATATTGAAAGTTTTAAAAAAAACTATATTTGAAGAGTTTTATTCAACTTGTACAACTTCAATTCATTTTGTTTATCCAATTTCACCTGTTTTTATCCTTTAAAGTTTTAAAGTATATACTTTAAAGTTTATTCAACAAATCCAAAGAATTAATGAGAATAAAGAAATAAATCCTATTGAAATCCTATCCTAAACTATCTAATGTCATAAAAGGACTTCAAATACAGATACAAATACAAATAAGGACAAATAAAGGACTTAAAGATGAAAGAAAAGGATTAAAGCATAATCCTTGATAATATCATTCATTGATCTAGTAAATTGGATAGTATGCGCTAAGAAATAGTGAATTTAAACGAGCTTAAAGATGAAAGACTCCGAATGCGAATAATTCAATGATCATTATTTGAATGAAATGATGATGCTGGAAAGGAAACAAACGTTTTTTAATCGTTTCATTTTTTATAAAAGTCAATCCGGTTGATTACATTGCTCTTTACTCTCTTTACTCTTTTCGCTTGGGATAAATCCAAACCTGCGACTAACCGAACCAAACGTTGCTTAACGTTGACAGATCGGATGCCGTGTTTCAACGTAACGCGAAAGTTTTGCGTGTGTTTTTTTTAGTGATAACACGACTTTGACTACAAAAATTGTAGTCAATTGAGTAGTAATGACTTAATTTGGTCTCTAAGAGAGGTTATTTTCAAGTTTGTTTACCCGTATTTCATCATTTTCAATCAAATTTCTTCGACTTGAAATTATATTTTTTTTTTTACAAAACCAACTTATCAACTTACATTTATTCTTTTGCTTTTGCTTTTGCTTTTGCTTATTGCTTTTGCTTTTGCTTCGCTTTAAAGCATTCTCTGGCTACCATACTTCACAGTGGACCTATTTTTTTTTTTTTTTTTTTTTTTTTTTTTTTTTTTTTTTTTTTTTTTTTTTTTTTTTTTAGGTTTCTTACTATCTTTCTCTTTTTTTTTTTTTTCTTTTGTTTTTAGTTTTTGATTGTCATATGGGATACTTAAATATTTCTGCCAAAAAAAAAAAAGGGGGAGAGAGGGCCTAAATCAAAAAAAGAGAAAAAAGACGCCCCCGCCCCCTCCGGGAGGCTGGAGTGGGGGGGGCCGGTCTTCGAGGCTTTTCTTCCCCCCCTTGAATTTTAAAAAAAATATATTTAACATAGAAAATATGGTATCCTCCCCCCCCAAAAAAAAAGTTGATACGAACGAAGAGAATCAGCTGGTGATTCCTTTTTAATCGTAGAACAATCGTAAATTTTTTTTCTCCTTTTTTATATTTTTTATTTTTTTTTTTTTTTTTTTTGTATATAAAAAAGAGGAAGAAAAACTTTAAAAAAAAAATGTTGTATATTTAAGTGATTGAAGTGATGGAAGTGATTGAAGTGATTGAAGGGTTTTAAATGATTTAAGTGATTGAAGTGATTTAAGGGGAGTGGGACAAATGCGACCTTTTTTTTTGCGCACCCGGACATTTGCGCATCTTTTTTTCCGCACCTTGCCCATTAGCGCACCTTTTTCGCGTTTCCTTTTTAAAAAAAGCTCTAAAAAGCTAATATTAACCAATTTCTATTCCAAATGTTGTTTTTCTAGGTAATTTTAGGGCGTAGAATCGAAATTTTGACATATCAGAGCTTGTGGAACCAATTTGAAAGACAAAACGGCTTTTTCTCTTTGTATAACTCCGTCCGTTTGTTTCCACACGCTTTGTTATGTCAAAATTTCGATTCTACGCCCTAAAATTATCTAGAAAAACAACTTTTGGACTAGAAATTGGTTAATATTAGCTTTTTAGAGCTTTTTTTAAAAACGAAACGCGAAAAAAGGTGCGCTAATGGGCAAGGTGCGGAAAGAAAGGTGCGCAAATGTCCGGGTGCGCAAAAAAAGGTCACATTTGTTCCACTTCCGATTTAAGTGATTTTTTTCTTACATTAATTCAAGTATAGCTCAATTCAAGTTCAATTCGTTGAGTTAACTTAAACTTCTCGATAAAGCCAGAAGAAAGAAATTCTTTCTACAAAAAACTAAAGAAACTAAAGAAATCATTTGCTAATATGAAGATTTCAGTGCACTAGAAAGAGTACGTTACTCAATGAATTCAAGCACAAAGTACAAAACTCAAGGCTCAAGCTTTAACCATGATTTACACGTAAATAAAAATCAATCAACAAAAGCATATTGTTGTTCATAAAATTAGATGATCATTAGATCTAATTGTCATGTTAAATTTTATCGTTTTTCATTTAAAAACCCTTTGATGTGTACGTTGATTGATGCCGTATTTACTTTGAACTTATTTTTTTATTTGTTTGTTTTGTTTTTGTTTATTTTTTTGCTATAAAATTCTTTTCCACCCGAAGTCGCATCCAGAATTTCAAAGCCTCTTGAAAATATGTGGAAATTCCTAGAAGTACAGGTAGTGATCCTTATCAAATTTCGGTTGGTTCTCATCCCCATCATCCCCCATCATCTTTTCCTTTATCATTCTTTTGTGAACCGTATTAATAGGGTTTGGAATAAGCTCCCGTTCGGTATCTTCTCGTCTGTAGGAGAATCGAAAGTATCTGTAAACGAATTAGATCTTATTGCCATATCAAATCTGCTCTATATTTAATCTTTTTTTACCTTTATTTCCTAGTCTTACTGTACTATTTTTAGTTTTCTTTCCTTTTTTTGTGAAATTATTGTAGCAATATGTTATATGCGGTTATGAATATCTGATTCGCTTCTATTTGCCCCTGAATAAAGCCCTGAATATAT